GACACGGAAAACATAAAGATAAACTACTACGCTCAACACATACATGTCATTATTTAGTCACGACCGCCTAGTATTCTCTGCTCCAACCACTTAAATTTTTCTTCCAGCTTATTTTTTTTCTTCTTCCACCTCTTTGAGTTTCTCCTTCAACTCCGCAATTTCTCGTTCATATTCCCACTGTTTTTGGGTCAAATCATGAAGATACTACAAAGATTATTTGTAGCATTCCTGCTGACACGATTCATCAATCCATACCTCAAAATTGCAAAAATTTCCGTTGTTTCCTCCAAACTTGTTCACACACATCCAGTATCTGCGCCCAACTTGACCGTCATCCCAGCAGTCCACCATCATACAGCGTTTGCCACATCGGCCCATTGGTAAATACATGCGGTTAGATATTGTTAAAGCGAAAAAAAAGCCCTGCTTTTATGGAAAGTTTTGCTATTTGTTATGGTTAGGCGCAGAAAATAACTAAAATGCACCCGTTATTTATAGGCAAGACAACACACAAAACGTAGTATTTAACCGTGCAATATATATTCACACAAAATATAGTATTTAACCGTGCTATGCTTGGCGTGTTAAAGATTCTTTCTGATACGAAATAATTTTTTCGCAGTCGGGCAGCTTTTCAGATCGACAAGACAACACACAAAACGTAGTATTTAACCGCGCTATATATATTCACACAAAGCGTAGTATTTAATCGCGCTATGCTTGGCGTGTTAAATATTTTTTCTGATACGAAACAGCTTTTTCGCAGTCGGGCAGCTTTCCGATCGACAAGACAACACACAAAATGTAGTATTTAACCGCGCTATATATATTCACACAAAATATAGTATTTAACCGTGCTATGCTTGGCGTGTTAAATATTTTTCTGATACGAAACAGCTTTTTCGCAGTCGGACAGCTTTACAGATCGACAAGACAACACACAAAATGTAGTATTTAAACACTACCTGTATCCTTGATAGTTGGGCACATTAGATGAACTTGCACCACGATCTGGATTACCACCGCCACCATACCAGCTGAAGGACATTTACGATGGTCGTGTCCTGTTTGCGAGCATATGCCACATTTACGCGCATAAACGGTATCACCGACATCCATTTGGTTCCGTATACGCGTTCTCTTTTGCATTTGTAGCTTGCGCAAAAAGTTCTTGTTATACGTCATTTTAAATGGTTCCGACAGCCAATAATTCCCGGCGGCCAATAATTTTCAGCACCCACTTGCTGCAACTGCCCACTATATGTGTTTAAGTATGCAGCAATGCTGTATTGCCTATCAACATGGTTGGTTGGCCCTAAACCTGTATGTTGAAAGCACTTCATAGCATGTGAGCACGACATGTGGTAGATGGACCATTTCCCACAAGAACACAACCTGTTGGCTTCATTTATGGTGTGTACATTATTCCCCCGGTGTTGATGGATAGCGGTGCGAACTTCAAAAATACCTTGGCCATCATCATACTGTAAAAATGAATGCCAATGTGCTCGCCTCCTGTATTTCTCAAATCTTTTCATCGGTATTGGCATAAATTCAACACCCCTCTCCATCAATTCCGATGCAGCTCTACGCATTTTAACAAACCTCTCCGCCATCTGTTTGAATGTCATCCGGACCATGGCAGTGACAGGCAATCCACGTGCAGACTTCAATAACACGTTGAAAGACTCCGACACATTTGTAGTCAGAGTTCCCCATCATCTGCCACCATCAGCATGCAATGTCCACTTGTAAAGCTCACGTCGCATCAACCAATTATAGGCACTTTCATCTAACTGCCGGATCGATTCCATGCGCCTCCTGAATTTGCACTGCTGGTGATCAGTTGAGCCATCCAAATTAAATCATGCAAGTCCTTGTTGGGATATTTCTTCTGGAAATTGGCCTTCAGGTGCCTCACAGAGTAACGATGGTATGCATAGGGTTCCTGCCATTCAGGCAAATGCTCTACAGAACTAAATATACCACCATACCGATCAGATATTAGACAAATACCTGAACGTTGTTTGACAACGTGCTGCTTCAAGTGGTTTAAAAATAGCATCCACATCTCTTGGCTTTCATTAGCACAGATGACAAAAGCTAGTGGAAATATTTGTCCATTGGCATCTACTACAACGGCGATCAACAACTTAATATCATACTTTCCATAGACATGAGTACCGTCTATGGAAATTATCGGACGGCAATGCAAAAAACCATCAAATGCTGGTTTAAATGCCCAGAACACGTATCTGAATATATATTCCGGTATTCCTGCACTCTGCTCAACCTTCCATTCAACAACAGTCCCGGGGTTAAAGTGTTTCAGTGCGGCCATGTACCTGGGCAGAGATGCAAATGACTTATCCCAGTCTCCATAAACAATTTCAAATGCACGTTTGCGTCCGAGATATGCCTTTCTTTTGGTAATAGTACACCCATATTCCTGGTGGATGGATGTAATACACTCTTTGATCTTGTACCTAATGGACACTTCCAAGTGTAGAATCAAGAAAAAAGAAATCAAGTCAACATCCAAGTTGAAGTGATTCCCATTAAATGTGTCCATTTCACAAACATGGGTGCCAATATATTTACCCACTTTCCACAATCCTGTTTCCTTCTTGGTCGCACGCAGCATCCAATGACAACCCATAAACCATCTACGGCAAACAACCTTGTATACCTCCGGACATGACTCCCATACTATCATCTCACGACACTCTCTTACGCTGTACATTTTACAAGCCCTGGATATGCGAGTTTTATCGGGAAAATACATGCCCTTTGCCAGCACCGTTGGCCAAGACTCATCCCACATTACTGACTGAATTTTGTCAAGATCCCTTGTGAGGGCATCCATATCCGGCATACTTGGCAAATTATCAAGGTAGGGAATATGCCTTGAATGAAACGGCACGTGGGACTCATACACTCTTGGTCTAACAAGAGGTGGAGCATGCTCCCTCGTCAGCTCAGGTTCGACATTCACTTCCTCATCATCATCACCCTCATCAGGGAAGGGTGTGTCATCTCCAGACTCAACGGCATTGTTGTCATAATCACTATTATCTTCCTGACTCTGCGCATCTGCCAAATCACGAGTAAATACGTCGTCTACGGGCAGCTGAGTGGGGTCAGGACTATCAAGTTGCTCGTTCTCACTGCACAAACAACAAAATGATAAGCTACTCAAATTGATAAATACTTTACATACAGTTATATCACTTTACTTACAAGTCGTAATGTGTTAACATTCCATGATGGACATTATTCTGTTGGTGATGACTCCCGGATGGACCACCGTGATCCAACACACCAAAACTATGTATATTCCAACTGTCATGGGGTCATAACTTGTAAAATTCATATCTGGACGGTACCCCTTGTGGAATATATGAGTGTTAATACAAATTCAATATAATAAAAATAAACATCGTAACACAAAGGAAATTTGAAGTTTACCAGTCGTCTTGTGGATTATGTAAAGTAGAAGAGAAATTATTTCCTCGCTCCTCGTTCGCCCATGGAGATAAGTTTAGATCCGGTCAAACTCTTTCAGCCGAAACCTGTTGGGCTAAAACTGCTCCAAACTAACCACCCGATGATTGAGGGTTATCCCTACTTTGCGCAACATCATTATTGTGAACGTCTTCAACCTTCACGTACATTTCCAATATTTTTATCAAAATAAGTTCCCGGTAATTATCCGGAGTCCCCAAAAAATCTCTCAGAGTTTCATCATCCTCGATGTTAGACTCAGCGTAACAAGCAACCCCTTGCGGAGTCACAGAATACAGATATCTTCCGGTTATTTTAAGATTCACCGAACGTTTGCTCAACCTCATTTTATTGCATAACAACGATACTAGTCTATCGTACTCCATTGTAAGTGGCAACTTAACAGGACTCTGTGGATTTAAACTATAACTCACTGAGTTATTCGCCACCACAACCTCACCCTCCCCTCCCCCCCCCCCCCCAATATAATGAAACCCTTACTTTTCGCTCTTCATACATTATGAAAAAAGTTTGAGAATTTAACAACAAGAAAAATTTATCACGAAGTTGGAGTATTTCTGAATGATTTTTCTCAAAACCCTTAACGCCTTTAAATAAGGCAATGCCTAATCCAGGGGGGGTGGGGTGGGGTGGGGGGTCACATTTTTGGAAGTAAAACGCAGTCTAAAAGGGCGTTTTACATATTTGAATTATCGTTATGTCAGTTAAGCGCAGAAGAGTTATTGGTGGGCCCACAAGACATGTAAAACGCAGTAATGAACTGCGCTTTATATAGTTGTCTTATCAGCTTCCAGGTAAAGTGCGGTATTGAAACGCGTTTTATATAAAACGCAGTAATAAATCGCGTTTTACCTTAACGTCCCAAACAGCCGTTAAGGTAAAACGCGGTTCATAACCGCGTTTTATATAGAATGTTAACTCTTTTTTTTCCACCTAAAAAAGTATTTAAGTCTAAAAGAACCACATTTCGATTCCGGACTCGTCAGCAAGATTCCGGACTCGTCAGCAAGTAGGTGCAGTACTACTTGAAAATTTGACAAGCTCAAGTATAATTTACACTGAGTTTAACTTAAAATGACAATATTGTATAGAACGGAATGATATCAAGTATTTTGGAATATGAATTATCTCACGTAAATTGGAACCGAAGGAGCACAAATTATAAATTAGGCTTCAGTAGATATTTAGACAAAGACCTGTCACTTTACTCTCCTGTACTTCCATCTTTATTGTCTCTAATAGGAGATAAACTTTTCTCACCAACACTTGATATTGACTAGAGCGTAGTAAATTGTGTGTGAAAAAAGTGCATGTGAATTTTCTCGAGTTGATTTATTGCTCGATAGTATATTATAAGGCATGCTTAATAACATAGTATTAGTATTCTTGATAAAGGATGGAATGATGTGGTAGGAGAATACTGTGTACGTTCAAGAAGTTTTATGAACACAAAAACCACTTCAGACTACCAAAGCTGCATTCATCTGTTGTTTTCATGATTGCCATCGAATTAACATCCAAAAACAGTGGAAACATCTAAAATTCTAATCTAAGGCATTTTAGATACTAGATACTATCAAGAATTTAATTTTCCTTCGGGCCAGTTAAGGAAGAGTTAGGACTTGAGAGTTAAGACTAAACTCTAGAGAAATATACCGTCATTCACTAATCATCACCAGTTGAAAACACCAAATTAAGGGTCTCGGTATTCAGTTTTCATTGATTCCACAATGCAAACATGGGAACTGGATTAACTAGTTCCATATTCCCAATTCGGCCTGAGCTCTGAGGATTTTCATCATTTCCCTTGCGTTCATCTTCAAACTTGTGGCCTTGAACATTTATGGACGAATAATATGCCTGGGGATACTCTAATCCAACTCCGAAATCACAACTCAGTTCAGCAGAGCCAGAGCCAGAGCCGGATCCAGAGCATTTGGGACTCGGGGCATTAGAAGAGCTCCTGGTGCTTGATCCTGCAGTCATCAACGGCGCCATATCCATGAATGAATTATCTGCAGGCTGCTGCTGCTGCAATTGTTCTCCGTTTGTTATGGCCAAAATGGGTTGAGGTGAAGATGTGCATGAATTATTATAGTCTTCAAAGGAAGACGGGCAAACGCCAGAATCTTTTGATGGGGAGCGTTTGGCTAGATCGCTAGCAATTAAAGTCGAGCTTGAACAAATCCTCTTGACGTCGTACCTACTGATATCAAAATTGGTTACAGCGCTTGTTCCCCTGAACTTGATTGCAGCAATATCATAGGCTTCAGCTGCTTCCTCTTGAGTACCTGAAATTAGACATATGACCAAATAATATGGGATTGAGAATATTATGTGATTCAAATTCCGAATCTTTCTCAAGTATTGGTGTACATAAATTGCTAAACTAGTTTTTTTGACTTTTCTACTGTGTTTTTAAAATAGTACTTAACTTATGGTTGGTTACTCATAAAATAAATTTGGTCGCTCTGCTAAAATGACTACTACGATCGATTAACAGTTTTCTGGCTAAACATTGATAAAAGATACTATTCCTTCCATCCAAGTTTACTTGTCTACTATTAACTTGGCACACTCTTTAAGAAACAATAAATAACATGATAATTTTACTATAGCACCCCAATTTATTATATGTTGGATAAGTACTCCCTCCGTTCTCTTTTAGTTGCCAAATATTCTAAATATAAATTTTCATTTTTACTTGTCACTTTTTACATATCAAGAGAAAAATGATTTTTTTTTCCTATTTTGCCCTTTGTATTAATTACTCATTCCAAATCCATTAAGACTATACACCAATTAATATGGGTATCATGGTAAATTATGCATTGTATTTATTATTTCTTAAGGGGTGTGTAAAGTTAATAGAAGACAAGTAAAAGTGAACGGAGGGAGTAGTATTTTTAATAAGAAGGGTAAAATGGTAAATTATCCATCAATTTTCCAACCTGGACAAGTAAAAGTGGACAAGTAAAGACTATTATATTACACATAAAGAATTCTGAATGCTAACTGAAGGAAATACAGAGTAAAACAATAAGACAAGCAAATTACTTACTGAAGGTACCAAGGTACAAGTCCTTGTTGCCTGCAACTCTTCCAATTCTGGCTTGCCACCTCCCATGCTGATGATGCCTGCCCAATTTCCCAAGTTTAATTAATGGGTATTGCCCCAATTCTATACAGTACTAGATTTTCATAGGTATGGTTCATTGGTTTTGCATGATTGCACATGCATCTTAAAGTTTGCCTGTTGCCCTATTATTGAACAAAGATAATTACATTCAATGAAAGCTGCAAAATTCTGCAGCAAAAATAGTGAATGTGAAAACACTTTAATCGTTAGGAAAAAGGTTGCCTTTTGGTTTAATGCTATGCTACGAACCTCGTTACTCCTCTGTACATTGATGCCCCTCTTGAAAACCCACTGCTTTTTCTGTTTAACATAAAAAAGGGAAGGTCAAATTTAGCAATTGAGTTGCATGTATGTTTCATCTTTTTCAGTGTAACACACCATCAAACAGGAAAAGAAAAATAAGACTAGTGAAAAAAATGGAAGGAACATTACTCTCCCTACCTTCTCAAGTGTGCAACAAATTCTTGCCTATTCATGTTTTTCATCTCCTCCAACTCCTTTTCATATGTGTTTAACTGAAATAGATAATCACTGTTTAATATTCTTATCATTAAAAATTAGCAGGGGAGGATCACGGGTGTAGACATGTAATTTTTTACCCTCCCTGAAATCTAAAGAAAAATTCATTCTAGAAAAAAACAGTAACTTGACATACTGAAACCAAATGTCAAGTGGCGACTCTGAAAATTCATTGAAACACAATTTTTGTCACTTTCATGATTGAAAACCTTTTTTCTCTTTAAAATCATCTTTATCTTATTTTTAAAGGGTCGTTAAGGTGAAAAAAGGGGTGTGACAAGGGGGGCGTAGGCACCTTACTTGAAGCGGTGTCACAAGACATCGCTTCTTCAAATTTTTTTCTTAAGTTGTATCTATAAATAACAAAATAAAATTAAAATATTGGGTATATATAAAAAAAATGACACCGCTTGTCATTACAGTTATTTATTTATTTATTTACTTTTTCAAATATTGACATCGCTTACGAAAATTCCTGACGTAACGTAAGCTATTAGGGAGGATGTTGCATAAGCTCAAGGGATCAACATAATCCAATATTTTTTCAACGACAACGAAGTATAGAGACATGTGAAAAATAACTAAAATTACAACAAATATACATGCAATGATTTAATGGTGAGAACAGAAAAGTTAGAAGTCGTCAAGTTTAAAACTTGATTATCTGAAGATTATAAAAGGAAAGGTACTTACGGGAAAATTAATATGCGTGGTGGGACCCCAGTATTTTAAGGCAGCTAAATCGTAAGCTCTAGCTGCCTTTTCCTCTGTATCATAACCACCTGAAGTTTATTTGAGTTTAAGAATTAAATTAATCATTCTCATCTCCATCCAAACTGTTTACACACACATAATACACAAAGTTTTCCTTTTGAAATGTCAAAAATTATTTTAATTAAAAAAACAATAATAGAAACTATAGTCAGAGAAACTCGAATAGAAAAAAGAGATAAGAGAATATTAAATACCTAGATAGACTGATTGATGCAAAATGTTGAGGAAGCAACGGTAAAACAACAAATTAAACAAGAAAAAAAGGTCAGTATATTCGGTGAAGAGTAACATATCGAGAGAAAAATTTATTAAATTTTAGTACATGAAGCAGTAATAATACACACCTTGTCTCCCTTTCCTAGTTTGCCCTTCTTTTCTGCAGCTGTTATCCCACAAATGAGCCTCGTATCTTCCAGTCCACCGATGTCTAATTTGGTCCATTAATTTCACGAAACAATAATTATTCAAAATTATTAAGCAGTTATATCATTAACATATGTTAAAAAAGAATTTAAAATATATATACTGATAGCGTAATTTTTTTTTTTTTTTTTTACCTCGTGACACCGCGATACTGAGAGGTTCGCTGCCCAAAAGTATCAATGGATTTTCTCGGAACCGGTTCCCTTGAACCGGTAACATTTTTAACAGCAACCGGCCGCTTTTTCGGAGCGGCGGCAAGCGACAGCGTTTGGCAATTGTTAGTACTATTTTCTTCAGCAGATGAAATTAATGGTGCAGCAGCAGCAGATTGGCGTAACCAGGATTTAAATCCAGAAACTGAAGTAGCTCCATCAAATGGCAAATGATAGACACTTGTAGTAGAGTTCGCAAACTCATTAAAGCTCTGAAATTGACCGTTTGGCACCATTACCTGAAATTGTTGTTCGTGATCTGAGGGATTTACTGTGGGTGGAATGTTAACGTTGATTTCAGCAATTTGTTGTTCATGATCAGGAGGAGAATTTGAGTAACAACATCCTAAGAAATCTTCAAGCTTTGGACCTTCTTCGTTCGGATTAGTAGCACTATTCATCTCATGATTCTCATACCTCCAACAATCTATTTTAAAAAGGGAAAATATATATATTAGGTATCAATTTCGTAAAAAAAAAAAAACAAATTAATAAGTAAAATAATGTGTGAAAAATTTAGACCTTCAGTGGTTGTGTCACAGCGTGGGAAAGGGTAGGTTGAAGGCATAACCGACAATGGAGTTTCTTCTACTAAGTTAGCGTCATTTCCAGTAGCTTGGTTTTCGTTGCGACTTTGATAATCTTTTATTACTTCTTCTTCATCATCGTCGCCAATGTTGAAGTCAGGAGAGAGAGAGAAACCCAACCAAGTACTCATTATACGAAGCAAAATGAGATTAAAAAAAAACTCAAATGTTATACTCTGAACATATACGTTTCTCTCTCTAGAACTCCGTGAGCGTTTTTTGTGTTGCTTCCATGGAGTTTGAGCTCATACTTCGAAGATTCAGTGAAGGAGACTGGCGTGTACGTACATATATATGTAGGATGGATTTATGTTGTATTCAACCGGTGCCAATTAAATGTCTTATTTTCGCTAGTCAAGTGGACTAGTGGAACATATAAGATGAGAGCAACAATATTTGTATTCACATTTTGTATACGGTCTAAACCGGGTTGGAAAGTTTGATCTCGGATTATATCGAACCGAGGTGTGAAGTTATATTGTTGGGCTTGTGACCCTGGGACCGAACAAAACCAAGACCAAACAAGATTGAGCGAAATTTGCCGAGCCGAATAATAGAAGGCCAAAATATCCGCGATCGGTTGGAGATCACGGCAGAAATCTCGACATATATCAAGGAGAGGCTGATTAATTAGCGAATCATAAGATTTTTTACCTTGTATAAAATTGTATCAAGAGTAGGACACTCCTACTATATAAAGGGGGTCTGATCATTTGTAACACACATTGAAATACACAATACAAAGCAATATACCGTTATTTCTAGCTCTTATCATCTTGTTATTTGTTCTTACATCAGTAGAGGTATTCCATGGTCCGAGGGTGATCGAACTCGAAGGCCAAGGCTGTTCAATTTGTGTGGTTCGCATTCATTCTCTTACCATCAATTTCAATATTAATCTATTTTCTTAATTTGTATCAAGTTATATCACGTATCCTTAAAACCACGTATAAATGCAATTGTTATCTGATTTTGAGGGTAAACACATTGACAAGAATATACATACAAAAGTTGGACAGTCGGACAAAATTAATTTGAGAGAAAATAAAAAAATTAGTTCAAAACTTAATAATAATAATAATAATAATAATAATGACATCAATATTATTATTAAGTACCCTATGGAACATTTTGTTTTAGTTTATGTGTATATGGTTAAGCTGATTTAATATAGAGTTTCCGGTTTTAAAAAATTGAATTTACAGTAAGTAGTACTTTCTTTCGACCCACAAGAATGGCTGACTTTTGCATATGACGATAAAAATAGTATAGTGCTATTTTTTTTCAAATCATATACAGTAATAAGTCATGGCAGTCAGGTGAAAATGCAGAGAGAGGCAGGCTTGGGCCAACCCTACCACTCTCGCACCCCCCTCCCCCCAAATAACTTTGAAAAATCAAGTGCTTACTATCCATCAAACTATTAGTACAATTTTAGAAAATATACCTTTAAAAGCTTTTTCTATTCTCTGTTTTCGTATAAAGAACAATTGAAAAATTACAACTTTTACTTCTGTTTTCCGTATGAAGACTTTTTAATTCACTGCTTCCCAATTCTTCGTGTACCGATGGGTAGTAAGTATAATGGGGTTTGGATATTCATAACAAATACAGTACTGGGGAAGGAGTATATGAGAATCTAATATTTTTATCGTATTATAAAAGAGTCTGAGAAGTAGGCAGAGCAGAGAGTGTAGACTATAGATTGTGGTTCTTTATAGAGGTGCCTCGATTTTCGTTCCTCCCTTTTCGTTTCTCAGTTTTGGCAGTGCTGAAGGCCAAGCGCAGATCAGCAGTTCGTCAGGTGTGGACATTAGAGAGAGACGCCTTACAAATGCACACCATTCTTGTATGCTTCTGCCCAAATGCACTGTATTCCTCCACTTCCAATCTCTACCCTCTAATTTTTTTTTTTTACTTTCCTCTAGAGTCCGATATCCGCTTAGGGCTCCATCGGTACTCGGATAATTAGTCACCCAATTAAATTTGAGATGAACTTATCCTAAGTTGGAATAAAATCTTAGTATAACTAATCCCGGGATTGTAATGTTTTTTATCCCTATGGGAGGGTGGGATAACGAATTCCGGGATAATTAATCATGGGTATACTTGGTTGGTTGTTAGGGTCGTTTGGTTGGAAATAAGTTGCCCCAGGGTTAATTGTCCGGGAATTAGTTATTCCAATCTTTCATAGGGATAAAAAATTACTACAATCCCGGGATTAGTTATACCAAAATTTTATCCCAACTAAACATGGGATAAATTCATCTCAAATTTCATCCAAAATTAATTATCTCTTATGCCTCGCACCAAACGAGCCCTTAAAATTCGAATAATACTAAATCATACAGGAAAGTCTCACTTCAGAGTGAAGCGTGTTCTACTAAAAGCGACTCCATTCCGAAGGCTTAAACCCAAGAATGGAGGGTACTTGCAAACTCTTGGTGATACTCCCACAACTTAACAATCTCATTAACTCCTTCAGGTACTATCGTTTTATCATAAAACTACGACAAACATTTTCACGGTTCGTGTATTATTATTTACCGTGTAATAATTCATGCATTACAATCCTAAAATCATCAACCAAAGAAGTCATTTTGCATAATGTACACGCACACAAGGCTAGTTACCGCATGATCTCCACTCTGTCACAAGTAGAATTTCGGTGAGAAGCCCACCGTGGCAGGCAATGGACCTATCCTTCGCGGTCTACATTTACTTCAATCGAATTGGGCCACCCATTTTAAAGAGATCTTTACATAAATAGCCAGCCACTTCACCGTTTATATTTTTTAGCCGGTATACATAAATAACATACACTAATTCATACATGGATTATAAAAGCTGTAAGACCTATACTTAAAATTTGCTCTAGAACAACTGGGATTCAAGTATAGAAGTTAGAACTTGAAATTCTTAGACAGCATTTCTGTTGGAGTTCAACATCAATAGATATGGTGCTTGACTGAAGCATCCTCTCATGTTTTAACTAAGTCTCTGTTCTTACAAGACCCAAATATTTTGTGCAAACCTTATGTAAAGGTATGGATGGAAATTCATTCTAAATGAACTCCTTTCAGCAGTTGCCAAGTTGAAGAGCATAACATCCTTCAAGTGTTCAGAATACAAGTTAAACTGAACTAAAGAAATTCCAGTTGTTTACATTACAAAACAATCAGAAGTATGCTAACCATACAGAAATCAGAGGGTGACAATGGTGGGAGATACTATTATGGAAAACATCCATGTTTCACATGATTATGGAATAGCAGTTCTACCTTCAGGATCGGTAATGTTAATCATAGTCTACGAAATCTATTATAGAACAAATTAAATTGTACTTGGATGATAAGGAGTGATACAAAAGTTATATGTTTACCTGTTAAAGGCGTTATTAACCATGGCATGGAGCATGCATAGTTAACCAACAACTTACCGTCAAACCAAGGTTATGCTATGTAAGAGAGAATAGAAATACAATATATCAACAATCAGCTGTGACATAACTGCGCGCAGCTACAATCCCTCAATTTTAGGCACCTATGACCTGCTTAAACAAACAATCAACATACGACTCTACTATATGAAGCAATTTAAGGATGAATTTAGCTAACATAAGACTATCAGAAAAAGGGCAGCCCGGTGCACTAAGCTCCCGCTATGCGCGGGGTCTTGGAAAGGGCCGGACCACAAGGGTCTACTGTACGCAACCTTACCCTGCATTTCTGCAAGAGGTTGTTCCCACGGAAAAAAAAATAAAGAGGGAAAGAGCAAGTACCATACAAAGAAGAATAAACAACCATAAATTCATACTGGCCAGAATACATCAAACACTTCGTATGACAATGAGCTGACTGACGTATGTTCGACTCCTAAATAAAGGCACTCAAGTCATACACCATCTTTTCCTTGATATTTTTCAAGTCATATACCATTTGAGTGCATCCCAAATGAGAATAGATATCTTCCTTTGTTTCACAGAGAATAAAGGTCTCCCAGGATCTAGCATAAGTTATGTCCTTGTAACATGGCAGGATAGCTCTCAATCAGGAAAATAGACTAACCAAATGATCAAAGCAATGATTGGAATAACTACAACAAGAAAATCCTGACAAGTAATAGAAATAGCAAAAGAATGAAACAATTCTAGCAACTATATGAGCGACTAGGATGACCTTTTCCATCAAAGGACGATCATGATTCTCACAAGAAAATTATGTTAAACAAATGATAAATGGGTACAGGTTTTCAAAATAGTTTACCCTTTTATCTATCAAATAATTTTGCCACCTCTAAATGCAAATCATCAGACTTGACTATCTTTTACTTTTTGATCCTGAATGGAACCGATCATGGAGGGGTCTGGGTGCCCTCTGCTCCCTGTCATATCCTCTCACAGTCATATATCCTGCGAAAAGATACAAAATCGGAAATATAAGACAATTTTTTCCTTCAGCAAGAAAGTACTGTTTCTTGTAATTTTTATTCATCTAAACATAAGGTGATTGTGAATTACGGTCGTGATATTACTTGCCTTGTTACGAAACTTACCATCATCATCAAATCAAACATAAAAGATGAACAGGGCTAATATGCCTGTGGAAATGCCTTTTCACTGTCATTGGAGTATAATATTTGGCCCCTACATTGTATACTAAAGACATGATACTGTATTTTGTTCCAACATTTCTGTATCACCTAGTTCGTAGGCAAGATATCCTAGTCATTTCATTATGTATTTCCAAGATTTCCACTATAATAGAAACTTATATATTGTGATCCATTTTAGCCAAGATTTCCTTTCAATTTTCACTAGACTTCTGACCATTCTTAGTAATTCTATTTAATATAATATATCAAGTTCAGAAGAGATATGAAGGGGTAGAACCTCACAAAATAGCAACACTTTTTCCAATTTTGTATATACAGAAGAGATGTGCCATACCTCTCCAAAAGCAATATTGAATGTGTTCTGTTGACATGCCTGGTTTGAATTATGAGTAATATCAGTATTTATGAAGCCAAGTCTTGATAAAACATGACCAGATCAAAGTGAAATATTACAAGCAACAGAATATTTTCTACCTTTAAAAATGGTCGTAACTGAAGTTCCACACAATAAAGTTCTTCGTCTCAAATGCCATATTGACGTCCTCGGAACAGGAATAGGGTTTTTGCTTGACTCATGATCAGCAAAAACCTGGTGTACAAGAAAAATATTTGTGAGGCTGACTGTAACACAATGAAGTAGTGACCATGCAGCAACAAAGAGGAGTTCATGGGGAAACAATCACACAATCTGATTACCTCATTAACTTGAAAGTACGTTCCATTAAGTGGAAAACTTCCCCTGTTCGCCGTCCGACATGGTATCTGTAAAATCATGGTAGTATGTCTCATATCCAAATGAAGAATCTCTTACGAAACAATCTGAAGGAATGTTCATGATGAACTTACCAAAATAGTTCCATAAACTATCTGATCATATTGGGAGGAACTTGGACTGCCTGAGCATATCTCTGCATCACGTCTTTCTAGTTCCTCTTATAGTTAAAAAAATAGTTAGTTTGAACTACGTCAGGGGAGATGACATTCATAGTAAGCATCCACCATTACTTCTTTACCTGTTCGGCAGATGGCAAGAAGGTAAGGGCAGGGGTCATCAGGCTCCCGTTCCTCAAACTGTGAAGTAGTAGACATTAATGCATGTAGTTGCATAAAAAAATTGACATATTAAGATGTATAAGAAATTACCCCACTCAAAAGAGGATGTGAATCTGGAAGCTCATACCTGCAACCGAATGAGGAATTGTTAGCTTTTATGAAACTTTTCTAGATATTTTCTCACATAAGAAATATAAGTATCAAGACTTAGTAATATGCTGCCTGATGAAAATTTTGATGTCAAAAACATCAAACCCTGTCATAGTTATAATCAGCCAAATGTTGTATGCCAAAAGCTTAAGGAAATAACAACTGCATGTGTTCAAATAACAACTGCATGTGTTCAATTTAACATACTATTTGCTCATGTTATAATATGGCTCTGTAACTTAAAATATTTGCTATACGCAAAAAAGATGGAATTACTACTTACACTAAGTGCTCAGTCCTTAGTCGACTCTCATACTTCAGTTTACGAGCAGGATGTGAAGCAGACACTGGATTCAAAAGAACCAAGGCTTTTGACACTTCTTCATCTCGATTCAGTGTACTGATCTCATCAACAATGTTCAACACACTTTCTTGAAACTCTTTAGTGTTGGACTTGTTGATAAAGTTCAAGACATTTTCTCGAAACTCTTCAGTGTTGAGTCGGATGGTAGGTATCTCCTGCTCATGCTCCACCTCATAAGGAAAGTCTTCAATGTCCAGTGATTCTAGAGATTTGTGCTCCGGAGATGCTGGCATTTCTATGATAGGCTCACAATCTTGAGTCTGGAACCTGGACTCCAAGAAGCTTCTGCTAGAAAGGGACAAAGCTGGTGACGGCAGACACATGTTTGGGACTTCATCAACTCTAACAGGCTGCTTAACGGTGACCACTCCTTTCTGCTGTGGTCCTGGGAGGCGAAGCCTAGAACTGCATAGTGCAAATTTATAAATATTCTGATGCACGAGGATGAATTTGACAAGGTTTCCTGGAATATGAAATATTTGTTTGGAAAATCACTTTTTGCACCTGAGGTTATTCAGGTGTATAGGTTTTAAAACCAACACCAAACGGGAAGTAACCTACTAGTGATACTTCTTTACCAAATTTTCTTCTCTTTCTTTTCCTACCTTGTCTCCTTCTATTTTCTTTACCTATGGGAATTGTTAATACTTCAGATATTTTCGTATACTAAACAGGCCTAGATATCAATTGCATCAAAAAAAAAAATTGTTTATTTTATAGTTGAGCAGTAATCCGATGCGAACCTTGCAAATGCACTTGCAAAGTGTCTGCAGTCGGCTCTCATTGGGCAGGCATTACAGTTTGGACTTCTCTTCGTACAGAAAACCTGTGTGATATTGAAGAAAACTTCTGCTGTTAGTGCTCTCTGAAGAAATAATATAGCTAATCAAACTCTGCTCTCATTGGCGGTTGAGTGTAAATCTGACCTTTCCAAATGTGATCATGTGATAATGCAGTTCATATCTGCCACAAGTACCAAACTTAATGAGCAGAAGATTTTCCGGAACAAATTTTCGGTTACTTAGAATTAAAGGTAACAAGCAAATCCATTAACACGAAAACTCTAAAGAAAGTGGAAATGCATTACAGTGTTAGCAGATCAAGGTTGCAAAGACGTGGCCAAAGGTACTTTTGTATGTCACTCTCCAGGGGGTACCTAATTGGAAAGAAAATCAACACTTAATATACACTAGCTAAACCTTAGCAACAATAAATAGAATTTATTCAATTAAACCTCTCCAGAAGATGCATCTGGATGCCATCAGGTAGTGGTTGCAAAGGGACCCATCCTAGACGTACTGCTATTCGAGCAACATTTATGTCAACCTTGTGAGCAAAAAATGAGAAAATAAGAAAAACACAGAATGTTGAGATTCCTAAGGCCAAAAACAGTGGACAAAAACTCCCTGCTGAAAACTTACAGGAAAAGCAAGATTCCGAAGTGTCAAAAGTCGAACACAATCCACACTCTTTGGTCCAATCCCATCTATACTCAACAAGTATTCTCTGAACAGAAGCAGATAAAACAATGCTCGACAACATCTTAACTATAAATATCACGATGACCATAATTTTGAGTAAATAATTTACGTTCTTACTTCACTTTATCTCGTGGGACATCTCTTAACCACTCAAGGTCAATGCTTCCATGATGTTTAACCAATCGATTAAGAAAATTCTGCAAAGTTCATATCACCAACCGATTGTTTAAGAGAACACCAATGTAAGCAGATCAATCAATCAACTACGTCCTACTCTAAGTGTGGTACACATAGATTATAAATAAAATGAGAGAAATGAAACCACTACAGTGTACCTTGATCTTTGCAGCAAGAACATTACCCTGTCCTCGACCTTTGATTGGCTCAAAAATCTTTTCAACATCTGCATGTCTAACGGCTTCCCAATTGACAGAATCCCTATTTCTTTCGGTAAGAACACCGGATCTACCAGTAGAATAGGTTTTCCTCAATTTATCCCAATCAATTTCTCCTTTGGGGAATTCATCTTTCTTTCTCGATATTGTCTTGGGCAAATTGACCGCTTCATTTCCTAAATCACCACTCTTAGCGGAGATTATCACTTCTGAACTGCAAGAAGTGGCGGTAACCTGACTTCCACAAGTATGCTCAGCTATAATTTTCTCCTCTCGAGTTCCATCCGATCTCTCATTTATGTAGTCACCACTGTTAGCGGAGATCACTTCTGAGCTGCATGAAGTGACTGTAACCTGACTTCCACAAGCATCCTCTCGAGTTCCATCCAATCTCTCATTAATGCAGTCACCACTGTTAGCAGAGATTATCACTTCTGAACTGCAAGAAGTGGCTATAAACTGACTTCCACAAGTATCCTCAGATCTATTTTTTTCCTCTCGAGTTCCATCCAATCTCTCATTTATGCAGTCACCACTGTTAGTGGAGATTATCACTTCTGAGCTGCATGAAGCGACTGTAACCTGACTTCCACAAGTATCCTCAGCTCTAATTTTTTCCTCTCGAGTTCCATCCGTTCTCTCATTTATACCGTCACCACACTTAGTGGAGATTATCACTTCTGAGCTGCAAGAAGTGACTGTAACCTGACTTCCACAAGTATCCTCTCGAGTTCCATCCAATCTCTCATTTATGCAGTGACCACTCTCAGTGGAGATTCTCACTTCTGAGCTGCAAGAAGTGACTGTAACCTGACTTCTACAAGTATCCTCAGCTATATTTTTTTCCTCTCGAGTTCCATCCAATCTCTCATTTATGCAGTCCCCCACGTGAGGTAAGTGGCTATATGATGTAGGCAAATATTCTGATGTATGTATATCATCTACAAAAGATAATTCATCTAAGCTTGACCTCATTGCACTTCGAGAAGAACCAGCAAACCCAGGATCATTCTGATTGGCACAGACTTCTCTTTCAAATGAATCTCGCATTCCCTCTCCTATCATAAAAGCTTGTCCTTGCGGGGTAGTCATTTCTTGCTTATTTTGCGGTGGGAATGCTGAAGCAAGAAGCATGAAAGCATTGCTGCATAGTGGGTGCAATAAGATTATTTACACTCTAGGAATGAGAAAAATGGGTATGTAATACAATGAAGTTTACCTTGAAAGATTATCTGACACATTTTGTGTTAGGTAAACGCCAACCACAGAGTCTACCACGGACCCTTTCCATTGGGAAAAGCGCCTATCACCTGGAAGTTTCCTTTTAGCATGAAAGTTAAAGCATCAAACCACTTGTAAGACAGAAAAGTTTAAGATGTACCTAAGACAAGACGCATGCGGGCAATGAATGATGCCGCCCTTCCTTGAAATATTTTTCTTTGCTCCTCCCACCATATCTCCTTCTCTTTATCCAGGTCTTCATCAATTTCACCTTCATTTTCTATAAGAAGTCTCCACACTCGCAGTGACTCCGTATCAATATCAACCTTGGGCAGTTTTCGTCTCAAGGGTTTAGACTTTCCCTTGTGAACAGTTATTGGACCAAAAGGATTCCACAAGACAAGCTGGCCAGCATTATTACTGGTTCTTTTCTTACTGATCGCTATTCTTTTTCTATAGGTTCTCTGATCGCAGATTCTTATATTCTCTAACCTCTGAATAAGTGATGCAACCAAGGATTCCAAGTCCGTTGAGCCTGCAAAATTTTATCAATATATACATCACAACTATTACAATAAGTGAGAAAAGGATAAATGCAGGTCAGAAGTAGATTACTCTGTGATCTGGTCCACAGATTTTCATGCCGCAGGCATTCTTGAATTTCATTGCAAGCTGATTTATCTGTTCTACGCCACAGATCTTCATGTTGTGGCCGTTCTCGAATTTCATTGCAAGCTGATTTATCTGTTCTAGGCCACAGCTCTTCATGTTGTGGGCATTCTCGAATTTCATTGCAAGCTGATTTATCTGTTCTACGCCACAGATCTTCATGCGGTGGGCATTCTTGGATTTCATTGCAAGCTGATTTATCTGTTCTAGGCCATATATCTTCATGTTGTTGGCATTCCTGAATTCCATTGCGAGCTGATTTATCTGTTTTAGGCCACAGATATTCATGTTGTGGGCATCCTTGAATTTCAGGGCAAGCTGATTTATCTATAAAAGGTTCAATCCTTCTAATTGCACTTATTTCTGATGTAAGGCAGAGGGAATCTAGAATAGCAGTTGCTCTTTCACTATTTTTAGATCTTTTCCTTTTGGACATGGCTAGTGGAGGCAAAGTTAAGGCAAGACTTAAAGGTTCTTGATCTGTGTTTTCTTCCCCATAAGCAGACTTTGTCCTCTTAGGATGGATAGATCTCTTCCTCCGAGACTTCACTATAGGGGACAAGCCAAACACACAATCAAAAGATTCTGGATCAGCCATTGCAGCTCTAATTTGATATTCGGTAGGTAGAACCTCTCCAACAAAATGTGATTTTAAGTTTACATTCTGCTCCAAGTTCACAGTTGAAAACCATATCTTTTTAGTACCACTGGCAGTTCTAGAACTTCTCCTTGTAGCTCTCTTGGCAATTATAAAACAACTCTTTTTAGCTCTCTTGGCAATTTTAAAACGCTTTTTTGTAGCTCTCTTTGCACCAAATCTTCCATACCTCCTCTTTGCACTGGAAGGCACTTTGCACCTCACATCAGTATTCAATGCATTCTGGCCTTTGTCTGCATGATTAGCATTCAAAAAATTGAAAAACACAAGTGCTTTTCTCCTTTTTGTCCTCCTTTTCTTGCATATTATTGGAAAATGCCAACCAGTCTGGTCCGCAGCTCCTCGGTCATTCCGGTAGAGATCAGCTTCATCTCCTATAAAAGATATAGTACCAATGTTACCTCTTGTCCTTCTTTTATAAAATTTTGGAAAATGATGCTGAGAACCACTTTGATCTGGGGCTTCATGGTCATTCTGGTAGATATCAGCTTCATTTCCTGCCAAAGACAAGGTACCAATGTTTCTTCTTCTCCTCCTTCCATAAACTTTCAGAAAACGATCCCGACAACCAATTTGGTCCGTTGTTCCATGGTCATTCTGGTAGATACCAACTTCATTTCCTGGCAAGGACATCATACCTGTTTTACTTTTGGTCCTCCTTTTATAAACGTTCAGAATATGATGCTGACAGGCTCTTTGGTCAATTTGGCCGATACTAGCTTCATTTTCTGCCAAAGACGTGGTGCCAATGTTAATTCTTCGAAAAGTAAAAGAATTACAACAAAAGAATAGTTATACAATGGAATTTGGTTACCTCGGTTGGGCTGGGAAGTTGACTCTGCCTCTAAATTATGTTCTAAGCCAGTGGTGCTAATATCATAACCGTCGTGTAAATTAGCTTTCAATGGGCTAGCACGTGTGACATGGCTGCTTTCATCTTTTGCCAGAACAATCAAGTTCTGAATCAGTGACTCCTTGTCTACATTTGCAGCACAGTTGATATCAGTTTCAACTGCTTGCTCATTAACACCATCCAGTCTATTTGTCAAGAATTTGTTGCAACTATGTGTTGCATGATCTCTGATCACTTCTGCAGCTCTCTCGGAAATAACATCATTCTCAATTTCCAAATTAAAATCTAGAGCTCGTCTGCATGACTTCACATCATGCCCAAGATCTACATGAATATTGTGCTCCATTTCCTGCTGAGGAGTTGAAACCTTTAGGACTACAGATTCAGGAGTAGCTCCTGGAGTCTTTCTGTTAGGTGCTTGCATATCACTATCTCCTGATAAATCATCTGAGACTTTGTCGCAGTCCTTTCTTAGTTTACTCTTTGTCCTAGCACTTGCCTTTAAGTTGACTGGTTTTGGAGTCGAAGGCTTTATCTTAGGCTTTGGAGTCTTTTTGGGTTTGCTTTCATCAAAGATTTTTGGTGTGTGTTTTTTCAATCTACGTTTCTTCCTTGGTCTGTCATTCAGGTCAAAGCGACCACCCTGTTTCTTCCTGGGATAACCCTTCTGGATAGGAGTTGAAGGAAACATGGAAGCTGATCTAGAATCACAATCCAGTTTTCCACTTTGGACTTTGCTCCTCCCTTCAATCACAGCAGAAACCTCCTCATCCTTTTTTAGGCTGTTGTCTGCAAAAAGAAATTTGGACGCTCAACATTTAAAACATTTGAACTTACTGGAAATTTGGACATGGATTAGTTGACAGTGATTTTGTTGGTGCCCTTTCTTTTGAAATATTACATCAATTACATTTAAGTACATCAGAAACAGGTAGCTCATTATAATTCCAACAATAATACAAGGGAAAAAAGGAAAACTAAGAAGAATATAATTAAGCATCAAGGAATCAAAATTGAGCCACTAAGTGCAGCATTATCGTGTATTCTACCATTCTAATACCAATCTTCCGGTGGTTATTGTAATGAACGCTTGCAGTGTTGTCATGTATTCTACCATTCTAACACTAATCTTCCAGGGTTATTGTAACGAATGGTAGCATGAGGTTCTTCCATCCTTATAATTTAGTCCTACATTTTTTGTTAATTTCAGTAGCAACAGCAACAACAACGACCCAGTAAATCCCACAAGTAGGGTATGGGGAGGGTAGTGTGTATGCAGACATTACCCTACCCCAATGGGGCAGAGAGGTTTCCGATAGACCCTCAGCTCAAGAAGACGGAAAAAACGAGAAGATACAATATATCGGTACCGTCAGCAAAACAAAAACTCTGCTAGATAGTTCATCATTAGGCTTTTACTTCTCGTTTAGACTGAGCATCGTAAAGCATGACTTGAGTGAAAACCTATCTTTTCTCTCTTCCTATTCTTACTGTTTTCCTTCTTTACTCACTGCATGGCTTATTTGGGATTAGCTTCAGCTGCATTAATTGCTCCAGTCATACATTCAACTACGATCACTAAGTTCCATTAACTATTCGGCAATCTAAAAAAATTACTCTCAAATGTTGCTATAATAGATGCCGCAGTTACTTAAAACAACATTGGATGGAAAGTTTACTAAACTGCTCAACAAATTACATCATTATTAGTTACATGAAATGACCAAAAATCATAGTTACATATTAAGTGTTACTTATACATTGAGAAGGATATACAAAAACTGTTGAATATTTGCAGAAAAGGAGCTTGCATATACTTGGGGAAAAAATGTTTCATTATCTATTGATGCAACCATCACGCAGAAACAAAATACACAGGGTCAATTTCTTAATAATTATTGAAAAATCCGACCTACTTAACGCAGAAACAAAATACACAGGATCAATTTCTTAATAATTATTGAAAAATCCGACCTACTTAAACTGTGATACTAAAATTAAGTTACGCACTGGCAATAAAAAACGTTGTACAATGAGGTCACTTTAGTGGTGATTAACTGTTATAATAGGCTAAGCTATCCTGATCCTGTAAAAATATCAACAGTGTCAGTGTATATAAGTTACCTGAACTACTTATGGACGAAAATTTGTTGAAACCAGCATAATTAGAGTTAAATTCTGGTGTTGCTAACGCGCACTTGTCGGGCGTTATTGGTGCCCATGAAACTGCTTTCTGCAACTGTTCCTGCGCTACATTGCCCAGTTCCATCTCTACTTCTTCTCCTATTTCAATTACATGAAAAACACAAGGAAAATCATCATGATTAAAAACCAAAACACAGTAACAGAAATCAAACTAGTAATTGAATAAGAGATCGAAGTCAACACACACGCAAGAAAAAAAAAAAAAAAAAAAACTTTAAGCTTCTACAACTAATCAATTTGCTTTGTGGGCTAGATGATCATCCCAAACATAAATTTGTTCTTACTCACAGATAAAACTGTAAGTATAAATTTTTAATTTACCTGTGAAAATTCCAGAAGGAAAACTGACGATAAGAGAAACTAGAAGGAAGAGAAAAGCATTACACAGAATTCCTAAAATTGATTCCCACAGCAGAAACAGGGACCGTATAAAAGTGATGGTGTATGAGAGAGGTGGAGGAATGGGGCAGTAAAAAGGGTAAAGAGAGGTAGGGTTAAAAGAATTTCACTTCTAGCATGATAGTACAACGTATGACTAGTTGTGATTATTATAACTATAAATCCTGAAATTAAGTTGACTTAACCAACTGCTTATAAAAATTTAAATGTTTTTGTATTGCTTGATTATATTCTTAATTTAAATTTAAAATTATGTGATTTAATTTGAGGTAAACAACTGATAAACTAAGTATTACCCTTCATACTTCTTCTCTTTTTTATTATTTTTTCTCAATTCGACATACTGAACTACATTTTGGTAATAACGAAATATATCTTTCCATAATAAGTTGATTAATTAAGTACTTTACATGATTATATGTAGTTCAAGATTTTGGTACCTGCATTATTTTGGCTCATATAGTGCTTTTCCTCTTTTCAGAGACCAGCCAAACTGATTTTTGGAGTTAAATTAATTTAATTTATTATTCCATATTAAAAAATACACACGTTTTTCGTTTAAAGATTTCGGTCAAAGATTTCATTCAAATTATTCTCATAATTAAACAACAAAAAAATTAAATAATGAAATGTATAACAATTTATTCTACTTGTCTTACATATCGAGCACTATTTTGTTTTTTAAATGGAAAATTATACAGTATAACCGTTTCAAAGAATAATAGCTGATAAAAAATATTTTTTTGTACATTAATACATAATATACATGTACATATTTTATAATATATTTAGCTAGAAAAATATAATTATTTTAGGCCGATGGATCAAATGTGTAACTTACACTACAAATGTTGATATATGAGCTATGTGGTTTCGGTCCACGTTGGATTGGAAGGCCCAACATGTTATGGATAAAATTTAGTCATCACACTAGAAAGATGATTGATGATAGGCTATAATTACGTATTTTAGTCGCTTATTACACTTTAATTTACTGCACTTTAGTTGAGTTTGCGCTCTAATCGCTAGTGTCTTGCACTAACTGTGTGTTTTATGCCTTGTAGGAGTAATTCCGAGCTATATAGATGTTATGGAATGAATTCAAGTGAGTTGGAGCTTTGAAATTTGAGTAAAAGCCCAAGGATACAAGTCGGGATCGCGTTTGGGGGTCAACGGATAATAGTTAGAGCGAACGAAGAATCGAGCAGGCATATTGTGCACTGTCTAGTAAAATAGATATAACTTTTTTGCTCAGAACTCCATTTTGGCTCCACAATATATGGTTGGAAAGCTAACTCAAAGGGCTACAACTTTCATGTTTTACGTTTTTTCCAAATTCGGACGGAACAGGGTGAAAAATGCGCAATAGCGCGGTCGCGCTAGTTTTAGCGCGCCCAGAAACAGAACACTTGTCAACTAGCGCGCCCAGATGCGCGTCCAGGTGCGCGACCGCGCTAGTTAAGCCCGGGAAAAGTGTCCTTTTTCACATTGGAGAAGGTATAACTGTTTGGGCCCAACCCTACTTGGTAGATATACATAGGAGAATGTTTTTTAGAGCAATTTTTGACCAAGGAAGAGCACAGAGCCGCCGTGAAGGCCGGGTTTCATCTTTTCTTCACCAACTTAGTCTTTTTATGTTTCTTTGTATGATTTGTTGTTTTAGCTACCATGTCTATGTGGAGCTAAACTTCACGTTCTAGGGTTGTGGTTCTTTCATGACTATTGTTATTCGGATATTGATTTTGATTTCTTAGTTTATTATATTGGTTTATTTAATCAATCCTGCACTTAATTATTTGATTGTTTGATCACCAATTAAATACTATCTACGAATCTAGAGTTGAACTTGAAAGTAGGAATTCTAGATTGCATATAGGGTTGAATAGAGCAAGTTCTTGAACCTGGGCATCGGGGAATGGATTCGCGGTTAGGATAGACATATACCTAATTGCCTTGCTTGGTTAATTTACAGGAATTATAAATGCGTTCTTGTTGATTCTAACTCCATAGACATATAGGCGTTAGGTTAGCTTGAATAGGCGAGTAAGAACTCGACAGATTCTTATGAGCAATATTAACCCTGTAACCAATAAACTAGATAAATTAGTTAGTTAATTCAATTGAAGAATACAATAGGAATGTTAGATAGCCCATAACCCTAGATCGTTTTCATTATATTGATATCATAAAAATCTGCTCTTTCTCTGTCCAAAGTTCATTATTTGTTTTTATTTATTTTAATTAGTTTAGAATCAAATACTTCTAGGTTTAATTCTTGTATAGATAATTAGGATAGTCTAATTTAGTTAATAGTTAATCACAAGTCCTCGTGGGAACGATACTCTACTCACTACTTTATTACTTGACGATCACGTGCACTTGCGTGAGTGCGTTTGGGCGCAACAAGTTTCTGGCGCCGTTGCCGGGGACTTGGAAATTAGCTATTTTTCTAGATTAGACTTTTAATTTTTTATTTTATTTTTTTGTATATACTTTTATTTTTACAAATAATTTGATATTTTTCTCTTAGTGTGTTCCTAGTTCTCTCAGCATGACATCTGGGGATGAAATATACGTAGGTAAGGCTACTGATGAAGACTCTTGGTTTACAAAAGACTTTTATGGCTAGTATTTTTGGTCTTGTCATGGCCTGACTTCTTGGAGATCTGAATTTGAATATGGGAGTAAGGGTTGGTATTGGGAAGAATATTCACGATTAAGGGAATATGAGGAACGACGTTGTCTTCTAACAACGTTGGTAAATGATTGGTCTAAGGAGAGAGATGAACTTGCACATAAAATTGATAATTTTGGCTTGGCTGTACATAACTTAGATGCAGATTTGAGTGCAAAGGTTGATGCGTGTAACGCCCAAAAAATTAATAAAGAGTTGTGTGAAGCTGAAAAAAATCTTCTAGACCAAATTGAGGAGCTAAAACGAGAATACCAATCACTAGACCATGTTTTTCTTGAGGATGCAAATATTGAGAAGAGTGCTCTAGAGTCATATGAGGGAGTTGATAACATTACTTTGGGAGACTTGAGTGCGTGTAAATATGGGGATGCAAATAGTAGTAAAATTCATGAGTTAGGGCGCATTAGACATCATTCCAATCATTTTTCCACATTGTGTTTAGATAGTAAGATTGTAATCGAGCCATCTGAGCCTATAGAGGAGTCAAAAGGTGAGGATGAGAGTGCTATATTCTTGAATTTGTTGTGCCAGAAAGCAAAAATTATATTCCCCATCTAAAGACCAAGAAGTGCATAGTGAAAAAATATTACTTGGCCTGGTTATCTTTGTAGCCCCACCAAAGGTGCATAGCCACAAACTGGATGCCCTGTTAGGGGTACAATTCATAAGTTCAAGGTGGAGACAAAAATTGGTTCAAGTCGTGCCGCGACGTTATATCAAGCGCTTGTTGGGAGGCAACCCAACTTTACTGCTTTTTTTTTTTATTTATGTCTATTTTATTATTTTTATTATTTTTGTAGTGTTGTTTTATTTTGTAGGATTTTGAGCATGGAGTCAAAGCCAATAGGCATGTGCTAAAGCGAGCAGGTGATTGAAAATAAGTGTGGGGTGACCGCACAAAGGATCGTACCTGGGAGAAGTCTGAGTATCCCGTGAGCTGCTAATGCTTCGGCTTTTGGCCTACCAGGGAGTCTCTTTTACCCTCTTGTTATGTTCAGTGTGCATTGAGGACATTGCACAATTTTAAGTGTGGGGTGAGGATATTGTCTGGGTGATTTTCTGTGCTATCTTAGTTTAGTTGTATTGTTTTTTTTTAAAAAAAAAAAAGGAAAATGAAAAAAAAAATTTGAAAGATTTGGACTAACGATGGATCTCCTAGACAGTTTTTTTGAGGGATTAAAGTCTAAACAAAAATCCAAAAATATGTCTTTTATTTTCTTTAGGTAGTAATAATCCCCCGTGGTTTTTCTTTGTGCCTCGGTTCTTTTCCAAGGGATGTAGTTTGAACCGGGTAGTAGTATTTTTTTATATTTTTAGAGTAGATTGGAATTTAGGGAATAAATGGAGGAAGAATGATGAACCTAGGCGCCCTTGACTTGTTTGATAGTATCATATTTAGGCTTTGGCATGTGTAGTATCTTCCCTATGATTTGAATTTATTGATGATGCCTTGCTTAGTTGGATAGCATGTCTTGTGATGCCTATGTCTCGTTTTCTTGACTTATGTTCACTTTGTGTTTCATGCTTAATATCTCGTGGCTCCGTGAATACTTGCATTTGTTTGAGAGTCGGAATGAGACCGTTCTTAGTGAGTCATGTGCCATGTGTGGTGAGATTTTTGTATAGTCTATGTATTGTACTTGTGTCTAGAACTTGCCCGGTTTGTGAGTCGAAGCGAAATTTTAGGTGATGCTCGATTTGAAAAATGATTTTAGGCTTTCTTTGATCTTTTTGAGCTTAATTGCTTATCACAAATAAAATTGATCCCTAGTTAACCCTTTTGAGCCAATAGACTTTTGTTTGGCACCCACATTACAAGCCTATATCCTTTTTGTTCTTAATTGATATCTTTGATCCTTTTACCTCTTAAAGCACTTTAATTGTGAGATAAGCGCTAAAAGAAGTAAGAAGGGACTAAGTGTGGGATGGCTTTTGAGTGGAACCAATGAAAGAAAGAAGGGTGCACTTATTTTTTTAAAATAATACACCACTAGCGAAATTGAAAAAAATAATCTGGAAAAAAAATAGAGATGAATACATTGTTGTCTTGTTCCTGTTAGTGGGTATGAATTAATGTAGTGCTTAAAGAAAGAGGGAACATTGTTGGGAGTAATTTTAGTTGTGAAATTAAAGTTGGGATTGAAGAATTTGGGCTTAAAGTTGATTATGTGGTGTGTTAAAGTGCTTAGGAGGGTTAGTCACTATTCCTAAATATATCCTACCCGTCCCTTAGCCCACATTACAACCATGAAAAAGTCCTAATTGATTTTAGATCGAGTGAGCCTACATTAGTAGAGATTTACATTATGGGCAAGCCTATGGTACCAATTACATGCATGTGACTTCTTTTGTGAGGGTGAGCGATATTTTCTTTGATATATATGAGTTCTTAAAATATATTTGATCATGAGATTCG